TTTCAAGTTTCAAAGAAGACAGTTTCCGGTAATGGTTTGTTATGCAATGAGCATTAACAAAAGTCAAGGTCAATCATTGTCTCACGTAAGACTTTTTCTCAAGAAACATGTTTTCAAAGAAGTATTTCTTAATTTGCAAATATTTTGGCAATGACTTCTGTACTCATTTTTTATTACAATTTTTTAATGTGAAAAAAAATCATCTCATAAATATCGATTCAGAGTATAAACATATATCAATATATACTACAAATAAGATAACTTAAAAAATGTTTATTATTAAAATTCAAAAAAGACTTTTGTCCGTGCAACGCACGGGTGTGATTTTAGTGAAAGTAATAGTATAATATCTACCTATTTACAATCGCAGCAGGAAAAAATTCCCGCCCAAACACTGAGCCAATTATAGCACGAATGAGCCAATAATATTTTTGGGCCTTAATATTTTGAAAAAATAAGTAAATAAAAATAAAATAAAAATGTGTGGTGGAGAAGAGGGTGGTGTATAAATGGGGTACACCAAAAGGTGTACCCCTAGAACTCCTTCCCAACTGATTGAAAACAGTAAAATCTAAACCAATTACTGTGTAACTGCACGCCACCATCTCATCACCCTCTCTCTCTCTCTCACATAACCGCGCATCAGAATCTCATCCTTTGCGCAGTAGAGGTCGGTCGTCATTCATCATCTTCCTCCACATTAAAACCATGGCTACGGTACATCCAAATTTCAACATCAATTTCTTCATTTTCTTTAATTTCGTAATTAAGGTTTCAAATCTATCCTCTTCCAATTTATACTCTTATATATCTTCATATTAATTTCATATTTATTTTTATCAATTTCGTCGTTTCTTCTCAAAAACAAGTTTGGATTTTGTTTAGATCCATTTTTTAAGTAAACCCTAATCAATCCAAGTTATTTTGATTTCTTAACATGTTTTGTTTTTGTTTTACTACACTGATTTTTTTTAATTTTGTAAATATAGGATATATTTGTGGAACTCTATTAATGGGCGATGTTAAAGTGGACAGATCTGTTCAACCAACTGCTCATCATCTTCCTCGCCGCTGACCCAGGGTATATCTGAATTTCAGAATAAATTTCTTCATTTATCTTTCATACTTAGGGTTTCAAATATATCTTCTTATCATTTATGTATATCACCTTATCAATTTCATATTTATTTCATCAATTTTGTAGATTTATCACCAAAAATAAGTTTGAGTTTTGTTTAGTGTTGATATTAATTCATCATTTTTCATTTGGCTTGAAATCAAGAGAGTAAAGCCTTAAACTACCTCATTAAGCCTTTAAAAAATACTCCGTACTTCAGTACCTTCAGTACTCCATACTCCGTACTTTAGTACTTTCTAGCTCTTAGAAAGTTTTTCCCTCCAAAATCTTTTGGATTAGATGGTTATGGAGTCCATGCTTCAAGATACCGTTTTTTGTTCAGATCCACTGAGATTAAAGAGGAGACAACGAAAGCAACTTATGATGAGAAAATTTGGAATGGATAACATGAACAACAAGAGAGCACTAGATTTGATTAAACTCATCCATGTTCATTTGTCCTCAATAAAAGAGGACAATAGGGGTATTTCTCTAATCCTAAATCTTATTACTTCAACTATGAAATACATCATCAACAATGTTCACTCTATACCAGCACAAAGACGCATCACAAGGTTAGTGAAAAAGAATTTATAAATTCTAACTATTTTTTCAATTCCTTTTCTGTTGCTAATTTAGGATTATTGAGATCCCCCCTCCCTTCTTAATTGAAGAAAGTTGCCTGCCATTTTTCTCAATAAGTTCTCCTAACAATATGGAGAAATCAAGTCAAAGTAGATAGTTTTAATATGACAAGAAGATATGAACGTTATCTGGGGGTTATTGAAGTGGTGTTTGATTGTCTTTTATGCTCAATTTGTAATTGTCACCATCTCAAGTCTACAAGTAGATGACTTTCCATTACTGGAGTGATGTTTGACTATATTTATACTCATTATAAGACTATTTTAATTTATACCATATTTTAGTATAATTACAATCACACTAATGAGGTTTGCAGATGATCAAAGACCATAGTTTCTGATAAAGGAAAGTCCTGATGGAGCATGAGAAAACATACAAGAATCTTTAATATAATGAGCAACAGATCATATGTTTTTTTATTTGGATTGCTAAAACCCAAAGCAATTTCTTTTTATTCCTTACTAGATTCTTTTTTGGATTAGAAGTAGATTTAATAAAGTTACTGCATCCACTAACTTTGATGGAGGGAGTATATGTTATCACGTTGGTTCAAAAGCATTTTCTGAGAAACACTTTGCAGTGAACAACTAATGTAATATTAAAAGTGAGGTATATGTAGTTTTAAAGAAATGAATGATACAATGATGGTGGAGTATTTTAGTTGATTAGAGTAAGGATCCAGGTGAGACATAAAGTGTATGCATTAAGCCTGTTTTTCATGACGCATGGTCTGGGCAGCATATTTAAGTCTGTGGAAACTTATTAGTTTTATTCTGCTCTTAGTGTATTTTTATAGATTAGTACGTGGCATATATTCTAAAAGACTTGATAAGTGTAAAGTATGCATTGCTCACCCAAGAAAATGCTCATCATTTCCATTATCACTACTATGGCCCCCAGTATTTGAGTTGCAATGAATATGTTGTAAGGCTGCATAGTATAGTTTGGAATTGAATATATGTGTGTCTTTGATATATTATATATACACTATTATTTTTTTGTCGTCAAAGATTAAAATATTGACTTGCGATGAAAAAAAATCCTCTGGAAGATACTCAGAATGTTGTATATGAAGAAGTTTTCCAAAATTAATGATTATATTTCTATTTTATTAAAATCATACGGTATGGGTCGATGAGATATACGGAGTACTACTTTGTATAGACATTATATTATACCAATTATTTACAGAGTATATAATGAAGTTTAGTGATTTACCATTTTATCCCTAATCATGGATTTTTATATATTTTATTTCGTTAAATATGGTTAAAATGATTAAATATTATAAAAATTTAATATTTCAAAACTATATTTTGAAATAAATCCAATTTTCCTAAACTTACATTATAACTAAATATATTTTTTCATCATTTATGGTCAAAGGGTGATACAGCTTGACTAAAAAAATCAAATTGCCAATCTTTTAGGGACAGAGTGAGTATAATATTTTACTTTAATATTAAAAAATTATAATGTCAGGTCCGTTTGTGTGTGTGTGTGTGTGTATGCTATTATTGTTTAAGGAAATGATAAGTGTAATTTACGAAAATAATATTTTACTTAAATATCGAAAATAATTTGCCCACTGTTTATGCATCAATAAATGGAAATAATGTGTTACATAATTTATTTTATTTGGGTTCGTAATAATCTCTGTCAAATATAAAACATGTTTATTTTTTTGACATTTAGTATCAAATTGATTGATATTTTTATTCAACATTATGAAGATTTTTAATTTTGTATATGAATTATTAATCACGACATGAGTTATTATTTATGAACACTTATATTATTAACTAAATATTATTATTAAACACAGTCTATCATAATTATATATGAATACTAAAGAAACATTGAAAATTCGATGAATTTATATAATGTTACTCAATTGACCAATCATTTAATACGAAGAAAGATATTATCTAGAATACACATGGGTGAAGAAGTTAATATTCTAAGACCATCATTAAATTAACATCAATTGATGCAAGAATTCCATTCAAGTTATAAAAAAGACAATTCTATGTTGTTATTCCATATACAATAATAAGATTAAAGGCCAATCTCTAAATACGTAAAATTATTATTATGAAAATAAATATTTAGTCAAGGACTACTACATGTTATGATTTTAATAATAACATATCGTAATGACTTGAGTGTACTCATATACAACGTAGAAAATATTCACACAAATTGTACCAGTAATGTAGTTATAAAGATTTTTTTTCAAAATGTAATTCATCTGATATTCATGCTTTAAAATAATGAAAAACTTTAAATTTCATTATGTGATCTATTTCTTTTCTTCAATAATGACATCAATATATTTTCACACTGTGAATATAGTTATGCAATGCACGGGTGTGATACTAGTAAAAAAGGTAACATGTGAAAGAATAATAATATGGTAATAATATGGTGCCATATCATACGAATAATCATAATAATAAACGTAATAATAATAATAGTAACAATAATAATAAAGGTAAGTTAGTTTTTTGTTATTATCGTGCATAAAATAAATGAAAGTGCTGACTTGGTTTTTTAAAAATGTATTCTCATCTCTTATATTTTTTTCCCAAAATTATAAATTATAAATTTAATTATTAAATATTTATAAGGTAATTTCATACCTTATCATTTTGGTACCATGTAATAAAAAAGGTAACATGTGAAAGAAATTACTCCGTAACAATAATATGGTAATAATATGGTACCATGTAGTAATAATAGTCATAATAATAATAACAGTAATAATAATAATAATAATAATAATAATAATAATAATAAAGGTAAGTTAGTTTTGTGCTATTACACTGTATAAAATATATGAAAATGTTGATTCGGTTTAAAAAATGTATTCTCATACCTTATATTTTTTTTACCAAAATCATAAATTATAAAATTAATTATTAATTATTAATAAGGTAATTTCATACCTTATATTTTTAGGTATCGTGTAATAAAAAGGTAACATGTGAAACTTTAATTATTAATAAAGTCATTTCATACCTTATAAATTTTGGTACCGTGTATAATAAAAAAGGTAACATGTGAAAGAATAAGAATGATATGGTACAATATAATAATAATAATAATAATAATAATAAAAATAACAAAATCTCGAGCAGAACTTTCTCTCTCTAGCTATGGCGAGGAGAAGGGGACGGCCAAAAAGGAACAATTCGAGCAACAGTGGGAATAGATTTCAAACGCCTAGATCAGCACAAGGGAGTGCTTCGAATGCGAAATCTACGGGAGGAAAGGACATTCCAGACGCTATTGTACCTGATATGAAGGAGATGAACCCTAATTTGGAGGAAAGTGATATTCCAGATAAGGCTGAGACTCCGATCCAGAAATCATATGCGAGTGTTGTTGGCAATCAAGAAGATGACCAGAAATTATGCTATATACCAGCAACTGAGGTAAATGGGAATTTTGTGGCTAAACTTACGAAGGATGATGTTATTGATATTACAACATATTGGGATGCTACGCTAGTCTGTTGTATTCTGGGAGCAAACCCTCCATTGGAGGTGGTGAAAGGCTTTATTAATAGGATCTGGAGTTCCTACTCAATTGAAGAAGTTTCGTTGCTCAAAGAAGGTCAATTCATTGTCTCATTTAAACGTGTTGAGGACAGGGATGAAGTTATTAAGAGGAAGTACTATTATTTTGACAATAAACCTGTCCTAGTCCAGAAATGGTATCCAGGGGTGAAGGTTAACATAGATCAACGGGATGATATTCCCATTTGGATACAACTGCCCGACCTAGAGATGAAGTACTGGAGCTTGACTGGACTAAGTAAGATAGGAAGCTTGGTGGGTAAACCTGTCAAACGAGATAGAGCTACTGCAAGTAAGAGGAAGTATGCATATGCTAGGATACAGGTAGAGGTAAAAGTTCAACAGGAGTTCCCATTGATGGTTCAGTTTATAGATGATGAAGACAGAGTGAAAAGCCAGGTGATTTCCTATGAATGGTACCCTTGTCTCTGTTCCCACTGTGGAAA